TAGGACCTGTAGGAACATTGGTACCAGCCAGTGTAGCTTGTTGGGTCATTGCGATATGCAAGCCTGACCACTACGTCAAGGTAGCAGCTATCGTTCGGCTTCCACAGCCGGATATCACGTCTACGCCAGAGATGGCGTAAGCTGTCCAGCCCACATATGTTCCGTGTAAGTTGAAGGCCTGAACTCTACTCAGCTGAAATTCTGACAGTGATATATATTTCAATGAAACTTATTGAATAGCTTGTTGGCCTTGAAAAATAAGAATCATGTTTGCTTTTTGTGAATTTTCGTGCAATTGATGTGGGATAATTCATCCTTTTCACCTAATCATCTCGTAATGTGAACTCAAATGAACGCAGCTAAAAATTTGTTGGGACCAATTTTACCTGAAATCGATTGAGAATCTAAACACATTCACTCCCTTTGCATCACTGAAGTACAGATAGATTTATCGGACTCAAATTATGTGTAAATTGTGGCAGTGATCTTATGTGATCGAAACGTGTTTCCGATGTCTATTTGAATTACATTGCATCATGTATTACCTGACTGTTAAACTTAGCGTTCACTAATGAGAATAATCGAAAGAAACTTGAGAATCCCTTCAACTTTTCCTACACAAGTAAAATATGCATTATATCACTCCTCTTCATTGATCATTGGGTATGTGGTGATGGAAGACATCGTTACATGATATGTATGTATGTATGTAGGGTAGAATTGTTTATACCCTGACAACCGTTTCGAGCTCGACAAATTTCTCGTAATCATTTCAAGGTACCCGAATAACTGCATGAATTATTGATACATTTCTTGCCTTGATAATTACATTTTCCCAGTATTTGCGTTCTCTCGTTCATGTTGTACGTGTGATGTTTATTTCATAACTAACTAACGACTTGGTGATCACACTCTTCCTTCACCTTACTATTTTTTTCTTCAGAACTATAACTGTTTATCAGCACATGGTGTGTTCGTCTGTATGTTAGCCGCTGATTGTAATACCTGCAAGATTTCTTTCTGATAGTCAGCCTAAATCGAATGAAAGGATTCACTCATTCATTTAGAGGTGAAAGCACAACACTGTTACCAACTAGTGAACAGGCCATAATGAAGAAATAACCACAGACTGGAGGCATCCCAACAGTGAAAGCGAAGCCGAGTCTCATCTATTTCCTTTGCCGATTGACTGACTTCTTAGTATGCCAATCGAAGTGATTCTATGCTGCCTATTAGTCTGGAAAGCATACATATACATACGTATAATGACATCTGTGTGTGTGTGTGTGCATTTATATGTGCATGAGAACATACGTTTGACGATCGATAGATAAGTGAACAGCAGTTTCCAATCCACAGAACACGTAAACACTGTTCTCTGACTATCTATCTATCGTCTTGTCGTTTCATTTTGAACTGAATGAATGCTTTATCAAGTGAACTTGTCATGCAAATGACTCTGTTTCATGGTTGACAGAAAGGAATGCGTGTCTTTTAATCGAGTTAAGAGAATGAATAGCTCGTTTGAAAAAGTATATTATCATTATCATTATTATTATTAATTCTACATGTTTAGCTTTACCATGCAATCTCATCTTTCTATCATTCTCTGATAAACACGATACTGGATGACTGATTGAATTGCTGAGTAATCACGGTGGAATCATTGACTGAAAATATATTGACAGAAAATTATGTGAATTTGTTTTAGAGAAGAGAATTGTAAACCAGTTGTCCATATGTAAAGGGAGAAAGTTCACACCCGTTCGCCGTACGAAAAGCTAGCATTATTTGTCTCAATTTCACTGAGATTTGTGCAAATACAAATTCTACGTATGTAATCCAAAGTGCATATCGAGGAGCCTGTGTCCTATTTCGCCTGAACCAAATTTCGAGTGGAAATTACAGTCGAAACAGTGAACTAATTCTGGCCATAATGCTGGCGATCAATCTGGAAAAATAGTCCACGAGTATTTTTTTATTCCTTTACGTTCCCAGTGGAACATAGGGCTTCAAGCTAGAGGCTTGAAGATTCGGTAGCATTGGTGTTCATTTTTACGGGATGGGGTAGCTGGCCTCATGCTCAACCTTCCCTCTTTACCAGTCTTGTTACTGGCTTAGCGAGGTTTGGGAGTGCGCCGGCTGGTTGGTCCACAAATATACGCCAATGTTAAGGTGACAACAATTGAAATACGTCAGACATCCAGTGTCGTGTTGATCAGTGAGTGGAGGAAACGTGAGATTACATATTCAAGATAATCACACTGAGAAATTATTAGTTTTATTATTCAAACGAGCTATTCATTCTCTTAACTCGATTAAAAGACACGCATTCCTTTTTGTCAACCATGAAACAGAGTCATTTGCATGACAAGTTCACTTAATAAAGCATTCATTCAGTTCAAAATGAAACGATAAGACGATAGATAGATAGTCAGAGAACAGTGTTTACGTGTTCTGTGGATTGGAAACTTCTGTTCACTTATACTTATCGATCGTCAAACGTATGTTCTCATGCACATATAAATGCACACACACACATACATATCTCTATATGTATGTATATGTATGCTTTACAGACTAATAGGCAGCATAGAATCAGTTCGATTGGCAGACTAACAGATTAATGAATCAACGAATGAATTAGTTCAATCGTAAATGTTATGCGGTGGCTAGTAACGCCTTCAACGTTCAAGGATTGATGCCAGTGAGACATGCGCAACGCATCATATTTACACTGACAATCAACCGAACAGACCAGTGATAGACATTTACTGGATGACATTGTATGACATTGGGTGAAGTCATTAAACATCCGGCTTTATACTTTGCGAGACCCATGGCAATGCAAGCTACCCACTGTCTGCCATCACACCGCCATACATGCTCATAATATTTAGCTATATTACAATTCGACCAGACTGTATTAGACAAGTTTCACTTGATCAAATACGAAGTTTCTATGGCTAATTGTAAAATACTCAACCCTGCATTCTCTCCGCTTCGTGTAAATAATCTCTGCATTCAGTTCTCGAGATATGTTGTCTGTTCCCTGTTCTAGCCTCTCAGTGATTCTTCTCTACACAGCTTTGCCGACCAAATGTGAAACCTCACGACCTGTCCAGAAGGCATCATACTTCATTCAACTTATTTACATTATTATATATATAACATAGGCTGGAGAGTTACTGAAATAATCATCCCTCCGAACCGGTGACATCTAACTGCAAGGGACCTATTCGAAGGACGTCTAGCGGAGCCGTTCCGTGTAAAGCGCCAGTGACCAATGTTAAGGTCAGACATTGTCGGACTGACTCACATCTAACCACATGAGTAGAAGCAAACGCCACATGACATCCCAAAGGACTGATTTTGTTTTGATAGTGAAAGATGAAACATTATCAGTAGAAACTTCCTGGGGCTCAACCTTACTTATTGATCAGTAATCTATAGAAAAAATTGAGAATAACAATGGAGAATGCCTTTTCGTAGAGTGAGACAATTTGCACAAATGAAGGAAATGCTGGGAATATTAAGTCATTATGGCATGGCAAACAATATTGTGGAAGCTGAAGCTTTCACTACATATAGAAAGGGATTTATTCAACGAGTTAAAATGAACTTCTCTCTGGAATATTAAGGTTTATCTTGAATGGTAAGTGGTGGTTAGCGCGATGGACTAGACCGCCAACTAATTTTTTTTAAAATAGGTGGGCTGAAATGAATCTTCACATAATGAGTATCATGTTACTTTCGAAGAGCTTCATTTTAAACACATCTGAAGTGAATCAAAATGAAACGGTGACGCCATTACGCTGTTAACAGTGATCCAAGGGTCATTCTGAATGCTCAACTCCGAGTTTCTCCGGTGTAGAGTGAGCGTGTGAGCACCGAAGCACTGATCGCTACCAAACTGAGTGGTATTTAGGCAGGCGATGTAATCCACACACCTATGATCGAAATGTTCTCCATAGGCAGCATATGTACGAACCGCCACACATATCCTTCAGGAAGTAAAAGTGAAAACGGAATTTGGACTGTGGATAACTTTGCCTGACCCTACTACTAGTTGAGAACAGTGATGATGCACGATTGTACGCCCTAATTTTATCTGAGATATTTTTGTATAAGGCTCTAGAGATGTTGATAAACTTATCAATGAAACATCAACCAAATAAGCAACTAGAAAGAATATACCAGTCCAAATATCAAGAAATACGACTTCTCGCTTACAATACACGTGGCATCGTTGTATAAGTTTGACTTTGTAATCTAGGGAAACTGCCCTTCGCGAATTAAGTTTTTCACGATTTATAAGACTTCCTTAGGATGACAGAGACCAATATTACAGACAGATTAACACCTTGTTCACTGTACATGAATTACGTAGGCACGATGATGGTCTAATTCCGCACTGAAGGGAAACTTATTTCCAGATACTTTCCGAAAAAAAAAATCCTCAATTCCTTGACCAGAATCGCACCACCATCTTTAAGAAGGATAGTGTGCCTCACAGAGTTTGAGTAGTTGAAATTTCTTCCGGACTTCCATGTTGTTAAGTGAATCGACCTTAACCAACCACGGAGCACTGTGTTCTAGTATATTGAATGCTGACGCTATAGGACAGCTAAGTATTCTCCAGGCACTTTGCTCGGCGTTCCAGACTTCTTTTTAGGTCATTAATAGAGATACTGTCAGTCTCACGGTCTCACTGACACCAGGCCTTGTAGTTTTGATTTGATCTGCAAAAGCCTAACAAAGATTACTATACTCGCCTTACGCCCCGGGAGATACTACTTACTCCTAAAGAAATTAGACTTAACAACTTCATAAATTTTTTCAGAGCGTTTACAGTTAGCTTATCAATAGCTACTACAGAGATTCACAAGAAATGTGAATTACTCCTAGCTAAAGTTTGTCTTTCCATTAGTGGCGCTATTGTTCATTACTTGGTTGTCATGGTTTGGGGTCTGATGATCAAAACAACTTTTTTATAATTAGGCATAGTTTACTCAATTACATAAAAAAATACTAGTTCTGGCAAAGCATTGTAAAAAAAAAAACAGAAACAAGTATTCTGTTCAAAAAAAATTGAAAATTCAGGGATAAGTTAACATCATCCACATACAATACAAACAGGGAATCAACAAAGAAATAGTACAAATGTGTTCGAATTCCTGAGTAGAAAGATGAGTTTTGTATACATACAACAGACTAATTAGGGACTACTGAAAGAAAGGATAATCATCATCTTTTCTGTTTACGACAAGATTTTACCTGATAACAAAGAGATCAAATGTAGATTGTATGTAACCAGGTATCTATGAAAAGAGATTGATACAATATATAAATTCACTGTGTAACTCTTTACCCATATTGCAAACAGGAGAATTAGTTCAATTAACGCTTGTCATGATATGTATGTATGAAGAGATAAAGAGGGAAATTTTAAAGAAATCATCAAAAATACCGTCAAGAAAGGTTAGAAATTTCATAAACTAAGGGAACTCAGGAGAGAAAAAAATACATTTTTTATGTGAATTAGCCAGAAAAAAGTAATGGCACATAGCTTCACAACAGCAAAGATCTTAACTTCTGAGATACTACATTGATTGGTACTTTTAGGAATTAGTTCTACCAATTCAGCGGAAAAGTAACTTCTTAAAGACTTTTTTTAAAGATGAAAAGTGCTACAGTTATCACAAATGATAAACAAGACGGAGGTTTTATGTTGGAAATGAGAAACAGAGACTTGAAGGTTAAATACATTTCAAAAGAACCGACACAAATAGAAACCTCTGTTCGAGCATTCCATTAATGTCAGCAGTACTAAAAGGGAACAAACAAGAAGATAATAGTGGAAAGATGAAAAAAACAAATACATACATAGAATACACAAAACACCCAGCAAAATGCAACCATAGGGTGTAACAGAAGGGGTTAAAATACGTTAAGAAAAGATTAGATTAGATACTCAATAATAAGAGTATAGGGAAAAGAGAAGTTCCGCTTAGTTTCCTTAAGAATATTGACAAGAAAAATGACAACTAAAGTATGAACAGTGACCCAAAATGAAGAGGAATTCGCCTAATTTTTTTTCATTGACTAGTTCATTAAACTATTCAGTTGATTGACTTTATGTTTATAAATTATGAAAACGGTCTTCACAGACAGAGAGAATGGAATGGTACATACACCTTCTTGCATTTTTGTACTGGATAATTCACATGGTGAGATTTTGAACGCCTCATTCAATAGAAACACTTAATTTTTGCTGTGAATCAACGATTATGAAGTAAGTAAATTAAACTTACTGTAATAGCAAGCAAAAAGCAGGGAATTTCACTGTAGGCAGATCAATTGATAACACTCACTGAAACCCAATAGAAGAGACCATTGTAGGCAGGACGAGCTTCCAGCAGTGTATAGTTGGCATTCCAATAGCCATCTGTCTTGAAACGAGATGCAGCAGTATCTAGGAGTTTTTGACTGTAAATAAAATCACGAAGCAGGATAAGCAGAGAGTTTAGGAAATCCAATATTTTAAAGGTAAACATAATTAAATTTGTTAAGGTAAAATCAACTTATAAGATAAGAATTCAGCTGGCATAGATAAATGAAATAGCACACCGCGAGAACTGTGAATACCGAATACCAACACACTGCTGTAAAATATCATTTATAAATAACTCTGTACTAGAAACAACTGTTTGCCACCATCTGGTTGTACCCTATAAGTGCAGATGGAAAACAAAATGAGAATGATAATGCATTGATCGCTTCAAAATATACCAAAAAAGCATCATATGCTTGCAACGAAAATTTTCAATTTGTATTAGAATACCTTCACTTCTCAAGAATAAATTGAACATTAGGACACAGAAATAAAGAACTATTCCTAAGAATGTACTTCAGTTACATTGTATGTTTGATAGCAGTAAATAAAAGTAAGCTACTAAACCGAACTTTTTATATCACAGGTTAAAAAACGTACCGTTGTGGATTAATTGGATTATTTGGATCTCTGCTGTGACTGATCATTTTGTAACGCGCAATTTCTTCAGGATACCGTACGACTATGTATTTGGCGTTAATAACTCTAGCATATAAGTCATCATCTTCGCCACCCCATCCATAATACAAGTTCGAAAACCCACCAACCTTTACAAACTGTTCTCGAGTTAGTGCTACTGCACCTCCAAAAATCTGTTGATAAGGAAGACTACAGAAATAATAAAAAGAAAACAGAAACGGTTCACTAAAATTTAGCTCCATACAGCTCTACAAAATACATTATGCGTTCACCAAAAACACAAAGTCAAAAAATTCTAAAAATTCTATGGTTAGATCGGTTAGATCGTTGAGTAAGAAAAGATAGAATACCAGGAAAGACTAATGACCACAGACTGATGAGAAAATACACACGATTAAGTCAATTAAAATAGTAAGCTGAACAACCACCATTTGAAATAAATAACCATTTAAATTTGTTTATTTCAATATTCTAGGATCTATCGGGAGTCTTTGAATGGCTAACTGATTACTAGAAAAGACTTGATTACAAGGATTTCTTTTCTGCCCCGACCACCTCGAATGTTACCACATATGCATCTATCAAGTGTATTCGGTTGTTTTGAACAAGTTCTATTCAATACTCATGTTAACAAGAGGGAAGAAAAAAAGCCTTAGGGTTATATCAAAACTAATATGACAATGATAAGAATTAAACTAAGTGCCGAGTGAAACTGTTATCCAATAACATTCTTTGAAATTGTTCATGCTAAACTTTGTCAAGGACAAACTCAACATTATTATGCACATTAGTAACTGCTTGGAATAAATTATTGAAATGGAGATGAATAGGACACCAAAATAAGTGGATACATATCATAACAAGAAATGTCACTAAACCTAGTATTATTAATCACAATCGTTGACTAATAAATATGACGCAGATGCTTACGGAAATAACATCCTAGTATAGATAGTTGAGAAGTGATTATTCAAAGAGTAATTTAATATGATACTTGATTATTAATATATTCAATTTTAGCATCAGTTAAAATAAATAAGAATACTAACTGGTAACTGAATTTATCCACAGCAACTGATAAATGTCTCGGTTGATTGGAACATCGGTAGGTATTTCGATCGTCTTCAGGTAATAGATCCACATCATGAAATATAAAACAGTCAAATTTAGCCACTCGCATAGATTCAATAAATCCTATGTTTAAAAGGAGAGCACGATTGAAACGAGTTGTACCATCCTAAAATAGGCATGAGAGTAGAGGGTAAATAAAGTTTAGATTTTTTTTCATTTAAAGAAAGTAAATGATGATATGGTTCCATTACCAATGGTATAATTAGAATGTTAACATTTACAAAAGTAAAATCGAATACTGTTCCGATGTGTTCATTCAATGGTGACACTAAAAATAAAAGCAATCTCCTGACTACACTTAGATAAATGTAATGTACTTTGACGGTTCTGTTTACTTCAAAATTTAATCCCCTTACAAACAAGGGGACAGCTGTCCCTCGACAGTCACATTGATTGACCACACAATATACGACTTTGCACACACGAAATAACAGATTACACAGGCAAAGATGTCATAACAGACAAGCATAGGTTAAAGGAACAATTAACTTGAGAGTGATAAATATTTTCAAATCTTTAAATGTGGTAAGAACTGAATTAATTTGATTCGGTGGCATAGCGGTTAGGACGCTCGCCGACCATGCATATGGTCCGGGGTTCGATCCCCGGCCGATGCACTCCTTTACCTCGCTAAGCCAGAATTAATGCTGGTGAAGAGTAAAGGTTGGGCATGAGGCTAGCAACCCCATCCTGTAAAATAAACACTACTGAAGAAACTTCAAGCCACTAGCTTGAAGCCCTATGTTCCACTGGGGAACGTGAAGGAAAGAAAAGAAAACTATGGAATTCGTAACTATTTCACTAAGCTTTCACAACCGTCAGCATCCCAACAATTTCAGACAAGCAATCTACCATTTCCATACGTGGTTAACACCAACGCTTATTTTCCCCCGTCTTAACAAAGGTATTTTTCACGGGACATCAATATCTTGGACGTTGTTGTTTGCCATCTTAGTTTTCAAATAGTCCGTATGTTTAGCTCATCCCCATTCTTTATGGCTTATTTCGTCCCTATCAAAAGCTTGGAAACTTTAGAAACGATAACAATCACGCACACCATGTATGTATTGATTATATATTCAACTAGTGAATGGTTGTGCAAAGCAACCATACTCACTGTTGTTTAACAGACCATATGTGTTGACTTGAATATGTCGTTACGTTCCATCTGTAAGATAGGTACTGTGACGCTGTTTTGCTGTGAAGGGGATGACAATAATGTATATTATGCTAAACAAGACACATCGCACGCAAACACATGTGATCTTATAAGAGCTTATGGAAAGTTGTCATCTGAAGTGATGAAGACCAGGTGTCCGTCAAGGATGACTATTCTTATTGAATTCCATTACACAAGTACTAATGGACTTGACGTTAGTCGAGTTTGATATCTCTGGTATTGAATTCCTCGCAGGAAAACGTCTTATTGGCAGGAAGTGTGCAGATGATAACATCCTTATATGTGAAGACAGTGACAAAATCCAGTCTTCTAGGGACCTAAAGCAAAAATCTAAGTATGCTTGGCATGTCATTTATCTCCGCGAATTGTAGAATGATGTTGCAGCATAGACATGCACTGACTCCTAGTTTAAAGGAAGCTGAAGGTTTTGACTATTTCGTTTATTTGAAGAAGTTCAATCAGCCCCAAGGGACTGATTGCTGACTAAACCGTAAGATGAATACAAAATGCTTATGCAGCATTAGCCAGCTTGACTCATTTTTGCTGGCTGCGTCATATCCGGCTATCCATTAAAAGATGTGCTTATTGTGCAGCGATTCGCTCCATCCTACTTTTCAGTTAGAATACAGTTATTGAAAGTGGAAGACAAAAACGTCTAACTTAGACGCCTGTGTTCAAATTCTCATGTTAGATGGTACAACATGGTCACTAATAATGAGGTTACGTGTTGAGTGTTAGGTAGACACAGGATCAATTGTCAAGGTTGTTAAGCTCCATCGTCTGAGACGGCTACGATGAGTGACGCGGAGGATTGCTTGAACCATTGGGTTACATGAATTTTCATCCAAAACAATGCATCATATTTACTCTAACTCATAGTTTTGACCATTCAATTATGCCCTTGAGTCACAAAACGTACTCACGCACATTTTTAATTAGACTTCAAAATACCGGTGGGCATTTCTTGGACGAAGGAAGAATATCACAAGGGATTGGTCTATGCTTCAGATAAAAAATCATTGCGTCACTACAAATTGCTATTTTACTTGAAGATCCTAGGTGAGGAGAAAACATTGTGCGATAAATTACGTTCAGAATCGTGCACATTATGTAAATATTTTGTTCAAAATAAAGTTATTTTCATGTGTTACTCATGCCAGATAATCAACTTTCTCGACGAGTAATTTTAGCTGACACAGGATTGGGTTGGAAAAGAGTTACAGGTGGTTCGACGAGAAGATGGAACCAATCCATAAAGTCTTGGACTATTGGTTTGAGCAGAGTATGAAGGCGTGGACTGACTGAGGTTCTCAGGATACTAGTAATCAACAATTGGAGACTGGTGGTGACATGGATTAAAATCATTCAAAATGACGGGAATATATTCGCACTCATTTTTACCATGCATATTCCGAAAATTATCACTAATTTCCCGTTCTTTTTAGTTTCACTACCTTCATTTACTTTTGCGTACTTCTCCAAAGTGTGGCAACTTGAAGTAATGCAAAGTTCTACTTTTATAAACCGCGGTCAGTCACAACATACGGTTTTTTAAATGATACACGTATGACATTAGATAACAAACTAAAATAAACGAGAGAATCACATACAGTGGTTAGAACTCAACTGCCCAAAACAAATCCTCCACGTATCAGACCGTGAGCCACACTTAATGTGGGGGCTAATAACACTACCCAACTGCCCCACAGAAAGCGTATGAGGCGGGACTAGAAGTCGGGACCCGTTATTACAAGTGAGTCGCATACCTATTATAAGACAACACACTATCATGTTACATTATTAGCTTATTTGAATATACTGGTACACTTATTACTAAAGCTGTAGTGAAAGGACGAGTTAAAATGGAGAAAAATCCCTACAAAACTAATAATCTCAAATCCTTCATCCTTTATGTCCTCACTTTTGTTCAGCTTACAACTCATTTCCGGAAGTGAAAATTTCCCAAGTTACATCCTGATCAAATTTTTTTTTTAATTTTTATTTTTGGTTACAGCTTGATACCACACCGTATTTTCAGTACAAGTATGGAATTTTCAGTATGGATATCGGTAGCCCAAATTTTGCAGGCCGACCATAGATATCGGGTGTGCGTCGGCAGGGGATCGAACCCCGGACCATGTGCATGACCGGCGAATTGTACAGTCAGAAATTAAGTATCGAGAAAATGGGAAAACAAAATTGCCTGATCTCATTTAGCGAATCTAAACAACATAGTGTGGGAGAAATCTCACAACAGTGCTAAAAAGTACCAAACAAATGTAGTAAAATCACAAGTGAAAACTAACTTGGTTAATAACGAATATCGTATACATAAGTCTTTGCTTCCGTAGAAATGAATGCATATGTTCTAAAAACATACGCAAGTGGGAGTCCCGATTTCGATATGGCACGATGATAGCTAGTCTTTCAGTTGGATCACAGTCAACTGGACGCCACATTCCAACAAACTTCTCCAGTGAATGTGTATTGTTTTCAGCGTTAGAAGTGCTATTGAGAATCACCACTCTCGTAAGGTTAGTGGACGTATCAGGGCGAGTTTGTGAAAGAACAATCTTAGGTTGAAGGGATGATGATGTGTACTGTTCTACTAAATGCGACCAGGTAGGTACAGTCTTCAAAATATCCAGATGCCCAACTGGGAACAAGAAAAAATGATGAATCTGAACAAAGTTTGAAGTATAGATCAAAACAAGTGAAATTAAATACGCTGAAAAAACAACACAATGAAGGAACTTGAATAACAACATGATACCTATGCATAGAAACAACCTTCCTGTGAAATGAAGGACGACAATAGAGAAATTCAGTCATTTTGTGCGTCGGATTTCTAACTGAGAAAAGCATAAGTTAGGAGCAAAATGGGATGTCACATCTAGTCAGTTGTTCAGACGTCAACTGCTAGCCAACTCCTAAGTAAATAATGTACGACTTCATAAAAGTTAGCTACCCACAGCAAGAGTGCATGTTCATTAAGCATAAGTATGCAGCCATCTCCAATCGGTAAAATCTGTTTTAAAAAACTTTTGGCAATCAGTTTGAAAATATTACAGAATAAACGTAAGACTTTGTATACAAGAGCATTACCTCAAGATGCCGCATATAGAAGAAGCACAAAATAACAGAATACACAAGCAAGGATGTTGTAACAGACGTGTAAGGAGGATGGGGGAAAGGAATAATTAAATGGGAAGTGATGAACATATTCAGAAATTAAGATACGTTTGAATAAATAAATAAACTATTCTCAATCACTTCACCAAGAGTCTGCAGCCATTCACCCTTGGGTTGTCACGGACCGCAACCAGGCTACCTACACCAATAACTTATGACTTCGTGAACTGGTAATATGCGCCAGTCTAACTATCCAACTGTAGAGTAGTTGCAAAACTGTCAGGAGCCCGTACCTACACCACCTTCTCAAGTGAACTATTAGAAGTAGATCAAAAATTCACACAGTAAACGCCAGCAAGATTTACACTAACATGCGCCACCTTTGACAGATAAAGGCCCTAGAATATTATAAAAACCAAATGAAAAGTGAACCAAGTAAATATATTATAACGGTTAGTGTGAAGCTAATGTATGAGTCCATTCAAGTTACTGAAACAGATTAAATTGAAAGTAGTACCAAACTAACCTGCATTAGGAGTATCCCTGGGGCATTCTGGTCGTTGTGAAAGCATCTACAATAGAACAAAGATAGAAGAATTAAACATAGCAATGTCACTTAAAACTACATCAATTGTGAAGAAATTATCTCTAGAGTAAAGCAAGCGTTTGTGATAAGATGACAATAATTTACGTAATTTCTTTGGGAATAACTTAGTTGATTAATTTAACTACATATAAAATATGTAAATACTATCATTACAAATACACTTTATAAAACCTGGAGGAATTTGATCAAATAACATATATTCATAAATACTAGAAACTTACAGAATTTTCTATGTCCGTTATACGATATGGGAATTTTAACAGAAAAGCAGGTATACTTTCAGAATAATAGACATGAATGTATAGAAGTATGGTTCCGAAAATAATCACGGAAATTGAACAAAAAACACAGATTCGTTGAAAAGTGAAGGTGGTCATCATTTCAATCTTCAGTTCACATATGTTGAAAGGTCACAAGTAGCTTGTGTTATCAGCACGTAAAAATCCCTCTCCCATTTTGTATTTTTGTGCGCGAAATAGGCGTTAATTTTTCTGCAAGATAAAAAGGTAAATTATAAATACGATGTCACTGTAATCTGCTGTAAGCACTGAATCTATCAAAACACAGTATCATATTACAGTCGTCCCGATCTGTAAGGAATACAAACTAATAAATATCATGAAACATTTCTATGGTTCATTATCCAAGCCATACTAATTACAGAGACATAGAAGTCATATTAAGTTCTTAAACTAAGGACGACTTGTCCTGTAATTTTTCTTGACAAATGTCCCAAGCATCTTACTCTTGTCACACAATGCAACGGGTATGAATATGAAAAATGAAGACATATTTTCACCAATCTTAGAACTAGAAACTAGTGTAGAATCAAAGGTATTGGGATAAACCCAAAGGAAAATGACAGATGAAGCAAATGCGGATACTGAATACCGCTTCTGTGTAGGATAACAATATAAAAAAGAGAAAGTGAAGCTGAGTCATGGCAAATAATTTTTGAGTCACATTATCAGAAGGCGACAGTTGTTTTCCATATCTCTAAACTGGAAAACAATCCACTACATTATACATACCACTGTTAAGGACATTCACTCTCGCCTTGTCTACTAGATTCTTAGCCGGTTCCAAGCCAGGGAAAAGACGGAGGGTCAGGTATGGGGATGGCGACCCAACCAATCAAACTGCTATATAAAAATTCACCACAAAATGAAATATTAAAAATAACAAATTATAAAAAGACAAGTTTATTCTTCTCTCGAATCGGAAGGACGAAGTGACATGGGCTGATGAAAGCCTTCTAGGAAGCAGTCAGTCAATGTATTTCCTCTCGATGAAAGCAAGAATAAGAATGGGGACGTAGAATGCACGTAGAATGTACAAGGCTGGGAAGGCTGCCCAGACAGCCAAAGAAATGAGGAGATATGGTATAGAAGTGTTGGGAATCTGCGAGAGCAAATGGAATGGATGACTATCAAAGCTGTCAACTGGTGAGTCAGTAATCTACTTCGGCCACCCACAAAACAACCACGAGAACACTGCGACAGTGGCTATTATGATGTCACCGACAGCAGCCAAAACTCCCATGCAGTGGGAACCAATTTCACTCAGGATTACGACAGAAAACTTCAACTCAATAGGAAGGAAGGAAAGTTACATTTATTCAGTGCCACACACCTACAAACAAAGTGGAACAAGAGAAGGAAAATTTCTATAGACAATTACAAACAGTAATGGGTAAAATCCCGCATGGTGAAATCAAAATCCTTATGGGTGATATGAACACAAGCCAAACTGGGAGCAGATAATGCAGGAGGAGAATTCATCATGGGTCGAGAGGCTCTGGACGTAATGAATGATAACGGAGAACTCTTCATAGACTTCTATGCTTTCAATGATTTGGTGATCGGAGGCAGCGTATACAAGTATAAGGATATGCACAAATCAACATGGATTTCGCCTGACGGACATACCACAAACCAGATAGATTTCATCTCAAGGTTGCTTAAGGAAGTGGAGATGCATCCTGCTGGTTACAAAGTCGACAAGGGGAGTTTATGTGGGCTCACACCATCATCTAGTTCTAGGAACCTTCAAGGTGAAGCTGAGAACCTTCAGAACAACTGGAGACAGACCACAATTCAGGTTCAACAATCAGAAAATGAAAGATGTAACTACAAAAGATACCTTCACTTCAGCCATCGGTGCAAAGTCGGAGACACTTCGTGGCATCACTGAGGAAACCTGCGTGGAGGAACATTGGAACTCTCGGAGTGTGGTGTTCAAGGAAACTCATACAAGCATTTCAGGAAGGAAGAAGAGGCAAAACAAGGAATGACTGTCAATGGACACCTGGAATTTAATAAGGGGGAGGAGAGGAGCATGGTGAAAGAGAAATGACTCAATGCAAAGACGGGCAACAGAAGGAGAAGCTGTTTAATGTACACTGCACTGAATAAAGAGATAAGTGCGGAAGAGTGCTAAGAAAGACAAGACACAATTCTACGACACACTGGCCGACAAGTAAAGCAGAACAGGTCGCAAGGAAAAGAGACCTCAGATCATATTAGATGACCAGGCCTCTATCCGAGAAGAGATCAATCCAAGTGAAACCTACGACAGATGGTCAAGGGAACCTAATTACTAAAGAGAAACAAATAAGATAATTGGCCGGTCACTTTAAAGGACTCTTCAATCGACCACCACCTACCACTCGACCAAAAACACCAGCAACATTACACACAGAACTGCCTATCAGTGGACACCTCCAACGAAAGCAGAAATCTTGAATGCGATCTACCTGCTGAGGTCCAAGAAGGCAGTAGGGTCAGACGGAATTCACCCTGAAGCAGTGAAAACGGAGACTGCAGCAGATATGTTGACGCCATTATTACAAAAGGTTTGGAACAAAGAGAGGAGCCTAGTGATTGGAAGAACGGCTACCTTGTCAAGCTATTAAAGAAGGGTAACATAGGTTTGTGCAAGAACGGGAGTGGAATAATGCTCTTGTCCATGCCAAGTAAAATACCAAGTCGCGTCATGCTGGAGACAACTAAACATGCACTGGATGCAGAACTCCGCCAGCCCGGAACAACCTGCATCAAGGAAAGACAAATGGCTACTCTACGTATCATCATCATCGAACAAAGTATAGAATGGCAGTCAAACCTCTACCTCAATTTCATCGACTTCGATAAAGTGTTTGACAGCGCTTACCACCAAATAATTTGCAACTACGGCAACACTATGGCATGCAGTGACCCAAATCTTCATCAACCGGATTCAACAGGTGGTTGTATGACAATTCCATGTCTCAGATGGTCCACAACGGAAAACTCAGTGAAGCCTTTTCAGTGAATACAGAAGTAAGACAAAGCTGCCTGTTATCACCCATGATATTCCTAATTGTGGTCGACTGGATTATGCGTCAGACTGCGTTCACACTGAGAAGACTGTAATACTCTGGACCACCGATAAGAAAACTCTAGATCTGGATTTCGCAAGTGGGTGACTTATGTTTAATGTCACACCAACTCGAAGACTTGCAGGCGAAAACGAACAAACTGGCAGAAGAGGCTGGCTGGCAGCGAAGACAGGACTGAACAAAGAGAAGACAGAGGTAATGAAGGTAATCATACACCGCCACCAACAACAATAACAATAACAACAGCAAGAACAACGACAACAGACAGATAGACAGTACCAAACACCATCAACGAGAGAAATTTGACAGGGATCACTTCCTTCATTTTCTTTTATTGATATAAGCTAATATCATAGCAACATTTTTGAATACTCAATTCTTTATTCAGAATCATCATAATGCAGCGAATAGCCTTAATTCGTGATTATATTGAATATACACCTATGCGAGATAGGTAGAGGAATGTTTTAATAAAGTGGAACAGTTCAATTTGTCACAAAAACAAAGAAATAAACTGGAACGCAGTTAAAGAACACTAATGACAGCTAGGAGTCATAAGAGGAGAAATGGTGCGAAACCATAATTTGAAATTCCCGGCATTAAAAGGGTGCAATAATCCTGAATATCCATTTATTGTCTGTCTGTTTTCGACATAGAACTTTGCACATATGTGCGGCAGTTCAAGTCGCCACACTCCACTCAGCACACAAAGCAAGAGAAGAAAGTAGGAGAAATGCATATTAGAGACAGTAAACAGAGGTGTGAGACAAACGATAGTAATAACGAAGAACAAAACAGTTTAATTGGAAATCATAAGTCACAAGGAGTGGATGCATCTGCGCCAGCCATTGAGAACGATTTTGAGCCATGTCACCAATTGTTTCCAACTATTGGTTTTTACCGTCCCGAAGACCCCAACCAGGAAGTCTACACCTTCCTCCCTACGTGGCATAGACTAACTGTTGTAGATTTCATTGACTGGTGTCATGTTTTCGTTTGACCGCCGGTAGCTCTTTTCCAGCCTGACCCTATATCGGATAACATTGCCCGTCGAGGAAGGCGATGACTAGGCATACGTAACACATGTTCTAACCATCTCAGTCGATGTAATTTCACAGTCTCGTCTATTGATTTCTCCTCCTTAACTAGCACTCGACGCCTAACCTCAGTATTGCTCACCTTGTTATACCACTTCACACGGGAGATAGAGCGTAGGCACCTATGATCGAAGACAGCTAGTCTTTTCATGTCTTCCACTCTCAATGGCCAGGTCTCATAGCCATAAAGGAGGACAGAGCGAACTGCTGAGCAGTACACACGCCCTTTGGTCAATAGTGATGAGCCACAAAAACACACAAACTCATGATCATACGACCAATCCAATAAAAGCTTTGTTTAAACCAACACTAGAGTCCACCATAACTAACCATCTGAGGAAACTTTTTAACTTCACTCAACATATTATCATGTTCGGTATAATGCATGACGTTCATTTTGTAGTTCAATAATCAAAGTGAACATTATTACCAGATTACATAAAAGAAATTCAACTAATTTCAACATCACTTTTTAAATACAGTACGTCAACAAGTAACATGTCATTACAACGTGATTCAGTGAATACCAAACATTTTCACCATCCACATAAGAATCACTTGTTGAACAGTGGATAGTTAACCAAAGAATGGATTCCGTATTTTTCTTATTCCTTTACGTTCCCAGTGGAACATTGGGCTTCAAGCTAAAGCTTTGAAGTTTCGGTTGCAGTAGTGTTTATTTTTTTTACGGAATGAGGTTGCTACCCCATGCCCAACCTTCCCTCTTTACCAGTTTTAGCAAGGTAGAGGAGTGCGTCGGCCGGGGATCTAATGCTGGACCGCATGCGTGGTCGCCGAGCATTCTACCGCCGTGCCACCGACGCACACAATTCCGTGTCTCTATGCTTTAATACAACTACTGAAATGTATGTGGACAGGAGGCTTACGTACAAGCATTTCGCTTGGTCAGTTCCGGAAATGCATTTTATCACCTTATTTATCGTAGCGCAAAATTGTGCTAGGCGTCTTATAAGTTGAAACTTATCTAAGACATGCCAGGTTGCGCGATGACAACAAAAGCTATTCTAGAAGATGACTTCACAATCATTACACATCACCTTAACACCTGACTGAATTACAAAAAATGAAGAATAACATAAAAATTATCATGTAGACGTTTTTCAGAGGTAATGCATGTATCGAAGTCATTGTTGTCCATACAGCACACCAGTCTAAAAATATTTTATCAATCAACAAGAGTGAAAATATTTATGAAGAACTAGACAAAAGGTGTCAATCACACCAAAATTACGCCAAATGACGTGAGATACTGACGCCGATATAACTTTAAAACTGAGTTATAAACTCGAAGTTTTGCAGCTACGCCGTGCCTGTTACTATATATCAATACATGACAAACAAACTATTGACAATTTCAAAGATGTACAAATCAGGACGTCACATTACATCCACTACTACCACATACTGAAACGTATAAGAATGTAATAACCCATATATACACATATAACATAGTAAAAGTCTTTGCAATGAGTCCACAATATGGCCCACAAAATTGTGTATACATCTCAAAATGACTCATCAACGAACTGCTAAACAAGCGCAAGTATTCCCCAGGAAAAGCGAACACCAACTATTTTAGCACATTCACAAAATCAACTGACAAAAGGGTATAATATTTAGGTAACAAAGGGAGTGAGAGCTATCGCAAGGATTTTTCGCGCACAGTACAGCAAATTCAACTACAGAAATTCCAAGTGTGAAACAAGGGTGATGAACCGTAAAACAGTAACATTATAGATATTTCGATTTTCGGGCAGATATAGTCCTTGGGATTGCCATCACACAGAGACCCGTGAAACCTCCGTGTAAAAAATTTATTATAACAAAACAATAATAAACAGGAGACTAACAACAGTGAGAAACTCGACCACTGAACATTCGTAAGTAATTGTAGCGTAATCTTTTAAATAAGCGCTGTTTGGAAAGACTGAAATTTTTCCGGCTGGACTTATTCAGCATGTTGGTTGAAATTTCGCTCGGTAAATACTTATTATCAATAAATTTTAATAAAACTGTGTTACATGTTTTCTGAATTGATAGGAATTCCCATTTCCTGGCTAGTTTTGTTGGTGTCCACATCATGTGATCTGACTGCGACACACTCTTAGAAATGATGAGTGTTTCAGACGGTCTGTGTCAAAATATTGCTATAATGAGCAAGATGGGATAGTTGGAGGAAAAGTCATCAACACAAATCGTTTACTTCATGTAGAAGCTGTGACTTTCGGCATAGTATCATTCAATGAAAACTTCACGTCTCAGGATAACAATGTGGCCATTTTCGTGTGAACAACAGTACTATTTGACAAAAGAATGCTATCAGTACATGGGAATCACCTATATATTCTAACAGAACCTGTGTTTCTCCGTATGTGTTTGGACAGGAATTATCGTAAGTTGAAAGGTTATCTCCCAGTGAATTTAATACATATTTGCACTGGTTGGTGCAGTGTAATATGAGTTATGTGGATTCAGTGTATAAAAAATCTCTACTTTATTAATATTGTGGGATTGTGTGCTCAGCTGACTGCTAGGCTAATAAATGCAGGCAGTTCCCGTGATTGTTGCAAGTGCAGTGCATTGGAGAAGGTAATAACTCGTTTAATCTTCCTCACCGCTTCACCTAGTGCATTTGTGCAGTGTATAGTATTATTATACGCATGGATTCTGTCGATTATGAGAACTGAATCTAGTTAGCTTTATTATAATTCATCTACCATCTCTTATACCATTCCCACTGTAGCTATCTCTTTATTACCTAATAATTTCCTTTGAGACAGTGGTGTTAAACACAACCCAAGAATAAAAGACTAGTTGCGATAAAAAGGATATACGTTACATAGTGTAACTGAAGTGACTAGGCTACCAATACAAGTCGTGTACTCATAGAACCTACGTGTGCTAGGCTATATTTCGTTATTACAGGACAAACACGTTCAACGGCTATCTTCCTAACAATCGTGAATACTAATATTATACGCAACCGGATTAAACGTAATTAGAACACTCTACGCAAGGCTTGATGACGCATTGAGAGAATAATAACAGTTTAAGACTGACGCATTTCACATAAGTATTAATACGTTGCCTATCACACTCGTTAACTCTGCAATGTCCTCAAAATGATAAGTAAAAGAGACAAAGTTAGTTAAAATAAATGCATATATTTGTAAGGAAACAATAATCAATCAAGTTAAAAATAACTCAGAATGAAAGAGTACATATCTAAACTGAATAGAGTTGATAACAACCCAGTGAAAATAATCACAGTTGCAGAGTTTCTTATAGCTGCGTCCTAATCATCATAAAGTCCACTAAACTCTCTATCCGCAACATCTGCAACTGTTTCCCTCCATTGGTAGTAGTGTTGGACCAGTCTTTGCAGTTTTCGTCACCACGAGATCCATTCGGAGAAACTGGATGTGAACTTTTCAAGCAGAGATTGAGATTGTATCCCTTCGAATACCTTCGGCCGTATTGGGAAATATCTGGGGATGTATACATATCAGGTAAATTAATCTTACCTCTGGTGAACAATTACTTATCTTCGCCACACTGAATATGTGAACATCATAAGGAATAATCATAGAGTTGGTGGAATTCTATAGATTAGTCGTCCATGTATTCCACGATAGATTTGAATAATTGTGGAACTTCCGAATCACCGGTCACACTTTCTCTTCTGTAAAAATCAAATGTTATACAAGTGACTCTCATCCATCCGTTACAACCAACTGAAATAGATCAAATCTTTAAACTTTATACTTCTTTCATTAAGTTACCCGGTAATATTCTTCTTGTAAGTGGATCCAATGCTTATCACATCTGTGAAATTTAAACACATGTTAACTTGTTCCCTTAAGCTAAAAAATATAATGTCTATCCAATTTTATTATTTCTATTTCAAAGCCCGACTCAGCAACGTACAACACGTACTAGCCGCAACGTTTACGCACAGGAAAATCTACCAATCGGATGAGGATAAACGTTATCGTGATATATTTCCGCTCACTGAATGGGTTATCGCGTTCATGCCTATAGAGGCGATATAATCGTTCAGTTTTGTGCAAAATGGATTATATTTGACTAGTTTAAGGCTTCTGTAGCCGAAAAAACAATGTTTTCCTGTATTGTGTTCGTATTAATGGGTAAAATTGTCTTGATATCCCAGACGGTTTGTTACTAAAACATGTCATCCTTCATAAGAAATTTCGCATAGAAAGACTATTATTTCCGTTTTAGAGCCTTAAAACTTATTTTCGAGTTGTTTTAGATCTTAAGGTTGTAAATGGACTACACGCAGTAGTTGTTGCCACAGCAGTTATTCTATGAGATTCCGGTACTTGAAAGAGAAATAGCTCACAAACACAAGTTAGATGTACGTTTTGAAAATGTTAAACACTTTTATTATCATTCATGATGATTGAAATATTCCATAACACATCGAAGAGATCACGCGATGACTGAGACAAGCCGCTGGATTTCCTGGTGATCATATCTATTTTGATGAAGTTCCTAGTTAAAATTACTCAGGCGAAGATATGATAATAATTCAGTTGGCATTGCCACATGGAATTTTGGGAGACCGCAATTGTTCTGTGCATAACATGACATCAGATTATGGTGATATCAGTGTGTATTTGGGCAAGGAGTATAGTATAGATGGTCCTTCTAAAGTATCAGACTGCTTAAAATTAGTATCAGCTTTCCGTTGAACAGTAGCTAGCAGCTGTATCCTACAGCTACTACACCTGTTATTTATATCAGTCTTAATAATTATTCATTTTCAGATCACTAAGATATTCTGGGATCCTTAATGCACTACTTGTGGCTATGAAGAATATGGAAGGTGCACTTATGACTCATACTTTTAAAGCATTTATTATTCAATAAGTTATCTGTAGGAATTTTGTGATGTTCAGGTTACAATGCTTGAGTGTATGTAGTTACTGCATGCTATTGTGCGTGAAGGGACAGTTGGTGAAAATGAAGATAGAATAAAGTTTCCTATAAACTCACTATGAATACTGCAAACTGTTGATAAGAAACTGCAGCAAAGGAAAACAGCTAGAAAATATTACGGCAGTTTCGATCATTATTACCTTTCACATTTGTAAATAATCTTTCCAAAGTTTAGAATTGACGCCGAAACATCAATGCTACCCCATAGGCCTTACAGAAATTCGTGAGAGATCTTACACATCAGGTTGTCTTACGAATTCTAAGCCTGCAGATCTTTCAATTTACCTGTCACACAAACCTGCATACAATAGCACCTACGTAGGACAAATCAAAAATCCAATTGACCGCCACTGTCCTAGCCAATAAAAGACGAGAAAACCTGAAGCGCGGTAAATTCAAAACGTGATAACGCGATAAATTGAGGAACTCTAGTGTAACGCGGCACCACATCCCGGCAGGGCATTCTTTGTGTTGTAAACTCCCTGCAGGTAGAATTCATGGACTAAGCATTTGTTAGATATGGAGACGTCCCATTGAGTCATTTAGACGAAAGGCTTGCGAAACGCGATACCTTACACACGCGCCTTCAGATGTAGGCATGTGTTGCTTCATGTGAACTCTGGGCCATATCGAGCAGGCATTCCTTTAAATTGATCCTCCGTTGTATGCCCAGTTATTGTTTGTATATATATAATGACTTCGTGCACTTCCTAGTTTGCCTATAATTACGGAATGTACATTATACTAAGGAACACAAATGTATTTCCTAAAAACCAGTGGTGTTCCTTCTCTACTCCTAACTGATGTCACAATGATTGACTCGATTAAAGGAATAGATTTTAACGTGGTGTGTTCTGTGGCTGTGAATCGTAGTTATCTAGTGCTGAATTAATGTCATGTGTCTAATCCTATTAACCTATGGATATAGTTCCTCCTTCACGATCCAGTTTTAAGTTGTGACTAATTGGTGAGTCACCTGGTGTTGTGGTAGTAGAAAAAACAACTTCAAACCTAAGTATTTTCTAGATATGAACATATTTACTTACTTTGGCGACAGTTTAATCTTTCTATCAAGAAACCCCTAGGGTATCAACCTTCACTTAGTAATTAAAAACTAGAAGTAAACTCCATGTTACTAATTTATTCAAAAGACATAATTATGAGTGAAATAGCATCGGATAAACTTTATCTAACGTAACTAAATAATGATAATCATTTAGCCTACCAATATGCCATTTACTTTCAGTCTTAATTCAAAGACAAATTCAGCTACTCAATAAATCAGTAGCTTCAGGAGACTGCTCTACTCTTGTCTTCGATATACTTTGCCCGATCCTGTTTTACTTCAAAATATATGTATACTGACCAGTTGATGTTGCTTATCCAGTTATACTGTCATTCATTTACACTATACCATCTATGTTCCTATCACTCAAAACATCCCTTAAACTGTTAAAAAGTTAATATCACTTCTAAATAAATAACCTTAACCATTCGCATATAAACGATGCTGATAAATTTATCACTGACGTGATGTTTCGACTTTCGAATAATCAGTTTCCCCTTACATGAGCACCTGTTTCAATTTCAATGGATAGTTCTAACCTTTGACTACTGAATTAGTACGTTTCGTTATATACCATCCTTACAAAGTACAGATACTAATAATAATTACTGCTTACAAATTTATCACGAGAACAAGAATGTACTGCATATTGACGACAATATAATTCAGAGGCGGACGTATCTTCTACATGCACTACTGAATACAACACGTGACCCTAATCTCCCCAACTCTGTAGTTCACAACATCCTATAAAGTTAGTAGTCACTATTAACAAGTAGAACATTCATTTGAGGTATAGGGAATATATTTATTAGTGATTCAACACAATGTACAAAATCAACGACACTGGAAACCACTTTCTTCAGCAACGAATTCCACGAGGTCACTGGAA